GGGGGGGGGTATTTACTTTAATTTATATAGAGAAACAACACTTCTAGGTATATTTCAAAATTGGTTGTAATTATCATCATGTGATTTCAATTTCATTTTATGAAGATCAATTTCCTGACTCAGCCCCGGGGGTATGGATAGGGCCGAAATGTTAGAATCAAATCCTCTCCATGGATGGAAAGGCCCTAATGTGATTTTGTATATTTTGATACATCACAACAACAAATGGCTCATTTTTACTTCTCATATTTGTCAATGCCGAAGGGCCTGTTGTCTAATTATATATGATATATCAAGCCGATATTGTGTATTATTTTTCCGCTTTACCCATTGTAAATAAGCTTTTATTCATTGACATACCATTCCCCTCCTGTGTGAACTCGCCACATTACAATTTACACTTTTCAAATCATATCTCTTTACTGTACCATTTCCCTTTCAGGGATGAAGCTACTCTTGTACTTGAAGTTGAAGCTGATCATCTACAACTTTCATTATCACTGTCAAAGGATGTGTTACCATTATTCGGATTTATACCCAAGGTGCTGGTGAAAGGAAATGGAGGGGTTAGGAGATCGTCACTTTGTACGTAGGAAGTTTCATTTTTAGCTCACCTGGTCGGAGGGACCATGGTGAGCTTATGCCATACCGCAGCGTCCGTCCGTCAAANTAAAATCCTTCTTCTTCTTCTGTAGGAATAAAAGGATTTGGTCCATATTTGTTGTGGAGCGNACTAGTCCTGAACGGCCAAGTAGATTTTGACTAAATTTGGTCTGAAACATGTATAAATGGTGCGTGTGGGCTCCGTGGGGGCAGAGGTAAAGGGCCCAATAGGGGAGATAGAGGTAAAACCTTTAAAATCCTTCTTTTACCGAAGGGATTAAGGGATTTTATCCTAATTAAGTCTGGAGCATTCTTGGGCCAAGGGGACTCAATTTTGTAGAAATGGTGGGTGTGGCCACCTTTGGGGAAAAGGGGCGGGGCTGATTTGGGAAATACAGGTAAAACCTTCAAAATCCTTCTCCTACCGTAGGGATTAAGTGATTTTGTCCTTATTTAGACTGGAGCATCCTTGGGTCAGGGGGACTCAGTTTTGTATAAACCCTGGGTCTGGCCCCAAAGGGCCTGTGGGGCGAGGCCCAATCGGGGAAACATAGCCAATTATTCTTTAAAATCCTTCTTCTGTAGGAATGAAAGGATTTGGTCCATATTTGGTAAAGGGAAACCAATATTTTTATGAAGGGTGGGTATGGCCCCCCTGGGGACTGAGGGAAAAAGGAGAAATAAAGCAAATTCTTTAAAATCCTTCTTCTTCTGTAGGAATGAAAGGATTTATTGCATATTTGGTTTGAAGCATCCTTGGGCCAAGGTGACTCAATTTTGTATAAACCCTGGGTCTGGCTCCAAGGGGCATGAGGGGCGAGGCCCACTCGGGGAAACATAGCCAATTATTCTTTAAAATCCTTCTTCTATAGGAATGAAAGGATTTGGTCCATATTTTAAAGGGAAACCAATATTTTTATAAAGGGTGGGTATGGCCCCTCTGGGGGCTGAGGGGAAAAAGGAGAAATAAAGCAAATTCTTTAAAATCCTTCTTCTTCTGTAGGAATGAAAGGATTTGTTCCATATTTGGTCTGAAGCATCCTTGGGCCAAGGTGCCTCAATTTTGTATAAACCGTGGGTCTGGCTCCCAGGGGCATGAGGGGCGGGGCCAATAGGGAAATCATAGCAAATTATTCTTTAAAATCCTTCTTCTTCTGTAGGAATGAAAGGATTTGGTTCATATTTGGTGTGAATCATCCTTTGGTAAAGGGGAACCAGTTTTGTATAAACCGTGGGTGTGGCTCCCTTGGACCTGAGGGGCTGGGCCCAATACGGGAAATAGAGGTAAAACCTTTATAATCCTTCTTCTATCATAGGGATTAAGGGATTTTATCCTAAGTTAGTCTGGAGCATCCTTGGGCAAAAGGGACTCAATTTCGTATAAACAGCGAGTGTGGCCCCCTTGGGGCAGAAGGGAGGGGCCTTATAGGGGAACATAGCAAATTCTTCAAAATCCTTCTTCTGTACGAATGACAGGATTTTGTCCGAATTTGGTATGAAGCATCCTTGGGTGAAGGGGAACCAATGTTGTATAAACGGTGTGTCTAACCCCCCTGGAGGCAGAAAGGCGGGCCCAATAGGGAAAATTGAGGTTTAAATACTAGTTTGTAAATGATATGCCCTACTTTAAATCCTACATGAATCATGTTAACTGTTGCCTTGGACCAATAAACAAATGCCAAACTATGATAACATGAATACAGAACTAGAAACTTGTAACACCCCTGGTTTTACTGATGGTTCTACTAATATATTCGAACTTTTTTAATTCACTGAACTGATTTCAGTTCAACTTTGTCAAATAGCCATTTCTAAAATTCATTCCTTTCAGATGACGACTAGAAAGTTTTACTGGACAGAGGAATGTGATACCTGAAGATTGACACTCATTTTATTGTGTGTTCAGTCTGTAAAAACGACCTTTGTCAGGACTGTTTCATGAACTTGAGAGGTCCAGAGTGTCCATATCGTAGGGGGCCACTCTACCTGACAGAGGAAATGATGACGAAGGCTATTTTTATGATGTGGTTGGTTTTCGAATAGTAGAATACTACTATGTTGTCGAGGATGAAGAAGACATCTATGGATACATGGAATTGGGGGATTTCAACAATCCCTCTTCTAATGGAGCAAGATGTATCAACCACTCATATACCTGGAATTACATCGAGACAACAGGTGTCGCAACAACAACAGCAACAACAACCACTGCCACTACAACAACAGCTGTCGCAACAACAGCAGCAGCAGCTGGACGATTTTGTTTTTCAATTAAGTCTTTTTGAAAACATTGTGTCAATTAAAAGTAAATAAATTAAAAAACACCCTTCAATTGATAAAATGATTAGCAGAATTAGAAAAAAGTAATAAAAAAAAATTAAAAAAAAATCGATTGATAAAATGTGATGAGAAGAATAAGAAATTAATGTTTGCATACTTTGGATATGACACAATGTCTCCAATAAGATATTTTTAAAATACTAACACATATATGAAGTTATATTCTTTTATTATATAAATGCATACTCTTTTAATTACATATAACACTTTCATAATAAAATCAAATATTTTAAAATAGGTTTTAAAATGTATTAATCTCTGCAAATACGTAATCAGATCTTATCAATTAGATTGCATTTTATTATAACATATGTACATGTTATATACAATTAAACAAATGCAAGCTTTACAAAATAAATTGACAATGAATGTTTTTATATCAATTTCAACAAATACGTAATCAGACATTATCAATAAGATTAAATTCCATACCAATTTATTTTATTATAACATATGTACATTTGATATACAATTAAACTGGTGTAAGCTTTACAATACCGTCTTTGTCTTGTAATGACCAAAGGCATAGCTACGCAGAGATTCGGAAGAATCCAACGCTTGTCGTCAAAAGCACATGACCCCGATTTGCTAATATTATACATGTATAATTGGTGTCTATCGCTCCTAATGGAGTGCATTTCACACATTTTGTTTTGTTTGTCAAAAAGACATTCTCTCTACATCTCGTGACGCAAGTCACGCTTAATGGTGGCTTTGGCAAGCCTTTAGCTACCTGCTTTTCTTTGAATGAATTGGTAGTGATTCTTACGTTTTGAAACGTAAAACTTTCTTGGACGGCGTATTGAAAGCTGTACATTTTAGCACGGAGTCCTACAAACTCTGCGATAGGCTTGTCTGCGGTTTCGTCTTTAAAAAAACCGAGTATCTTTTTATTGGTCGAATCGTAGCAAAAGTGCTCCGTGGGATAATTTGACAAGTCAAACAAGTGTCTGTCTTGTAACATATCGACATAGATGTCGTCACATAACACATGGTAACAAAAAATGTCGGTGTCTGTGAATAACAACTTTATCCCGTCTCCATATTTCGGTTTGAGATTGTTGTAATAAAATTCGTACACTATACATTTCGATAGATAACTTGACCTACGTAGACGGGTTTGTTTAACACCAGTTTTATTTCAGCGTTTTCTGCACCCGTCAAACCCTCATTGAAAATAGTCAATCTTTGAAAAGAAGGTTTTGCACAATACTTTTTTAGTTTTTTTGGCTGTGTGAGCGAGTTTAATGTCAACCCTGTTACGAACGTTCTGCATGTTTTACCAAAGACGGAATTGTTCATTAATTTTCATTCTTTTTCTAATTCGTTTCTAGTCTGTTCTCTGTATTTATTGTACATAATATAAGACTTCAACCACGGCTGCTGTCTTAACTGTAAAACTCTGTGAATCTTGGTCAGTTTCATCCCTAGCTCTAAGTACAGCTGTAAATTCCTATAGTGACAAATGTATTTTGTTTTGTCGCTCGGGTTTATCTCTTTCCATAGTGCTTTGCTTGTGGGAGATAACACCTCGTCTGAGACGGTTCTACGCTCGGGCGCCAAAGGATAGTTGCTCATCAAATCGTGATCGCTTTCACTCACCTCTAAATCGACCGAGGGCGGTGTAAAAGTGAGCAGCGTCTAGTCCGTAGTAATTTAAACACATGATTCGAAAATTTCGATAAAGATCGTGATATTGACCTAAATTTTGAATGTTTAATTGCCTCCAAACGTTTTGCGCATGATCGTACTCTTTTTGTGAAATGTACGATTTACTCTTTCTGAGCAATATCTCTGCTTCCGTCTGTTTAAATTCTTTTGCAAATGCTTGAATTTAGTTTTCGGTAAGAGATTCCAGACTCGGAGACAAACATTGAAATGAGTCAATAAAGCGAAGATCGCCTAGACTAAACGAAATGTATTTTTCCATATTGTTGGGTATGCATGTAATGTTGTGTCCTTCAAATAAACCCACGGCTTCACACAAAATGTGAGCATCAAATCCTTTTAGATTATGAAATATGACGGGAACGAAAGGGGGATATTTAAAGTTAAGGTTACATTTGTTGTGTGCTGCCCCACGAAATGGTAATGTGACAATTGATCGCACTTTCAGATCAGTCTCGCTAAAAGGCATGTTACAAGTATGACATTTGTAGCTCGATTGAAACACTCGCTCGTCCTCATTTGACATGTCTAATGGTTCTATGTGGTTTCGTAAGATGTCCTTAATTTGTTTCTCTTCTTCGATGATTTGTTCTAAAAATGTCTTGCTAACATTGGAACCCCTATAAATGACGGGAAATTTGGTATAGGTATCGTTAACACAAACGACTTGATATCCAAACCCGCACGGTTCGAATTTAGTTTGTTTAGTGGTGCTAGAGGATTGGGGATTGGGGAGGCACGTGTCCATTTTTTGTGCAAAAGTCTCGAAATCTGTTCGCAAAATCTTTGAACTCAAACTCACTGTGTTTTTCATCGGGTAATTCCACGTGTTGGGGGTCGTGTTTGGAGCAGTGTTCGATATGGTTCTGTAATATATCTTCCCGAGTAATACCTTGAAGGCAATAATGGCAAAAATAAGTTTTATGTTCATGTTTTTTT